TTATTCATGTAATATTTTGTTTCCAAGGAAGCTGTAAGATTTAGAAATAATTTAAATAAAAGAAACAGGTTAAAGCTGGGCACATACTTGTACTCCCAGTGTCATATGAGGCTAAGGTAGGAGGATCACAAATTCAAGACCAACCTCAGCAACTTAATGAGATGCTCATCAACTTAAAACCTGTTTTGAAATAAAAATTAAAAAGGGCTGGGGATATAATGATAAAGCACCCCTGGATTCAATCCTCAGCACCAAAACAAACAGATAAATAAATAAAATTATGAAAAATTAGGTTAAGAATAAATTATGCAAACATAACACATGGAATTTGCAATTCAACCAAAAGACTCACAGTTAACACTAATGCGACATAAACAAATCCAGAATTTAGATTTTTTTAACTACCAGCAAGTTGTTTTTAAGTTTGCATGTTGCTAATTACATAGAAATGTTTTTTTTTTCACCCACTCTCCTCCCCATCATCTCAGAGTGGCATTTTGTATGTGTTTCTCTTCAAACTAAATGACTGAGTTCTATTTTTCAGCTACTGATATCCTGCTACCCTTTTCTGCCTAGAAATTCCGTTTTACTTGGCATCAAATTGCACTGCAAATTGTTCTTGAAATATTTCATTTCCTTTCTGCCTGTTTTGTTTGAATTTTAGTATTCAGCTAATACTTTGTAGGGGAGGTTTGGAAAAAATCAATATATATTGTATATATTGTATTGGGAATTGAACACAGGGGCACTTTACCTCTGAGCTGTATTCCTAGTTCTTTTTTTACTTTTTATATTGAGATAGGGTATCTAAATTGTTGAGGCTGTCTTCAAACTTGCAGTCCTCCTGAATCAACCTCCCCAGTTAGTTGGATTACAGGTGTGTACCATCATGCCTGGCTTTATATTTTAAAGTTGTTTACTTTTAGTTACTATAATCAGCTTCAGGAAAATAAATATTCTTAACTGAATTGATTTTTTTTCTTTTTAGTGTAAACAGTACCTTGGATTTCAAGAAACCATGAGAAGCCAAAGTAACCTTCTTTGTGGGCTGGGGATGTGGCTCTGAGGTAGA